GAAATTTCGTGCAGCAACGGCAAAGAAATCCGACCGAAAAGCGTGCGTCATCGATGCATGTGCAGCCGTGCAGAGAAATGTTTTCCTAAGGGATGGACCGTAGAAAAGTGATGGGGGTGGGGCAAAAGTCAAAAGAATATTTTTCCCCAGGAAATTATTAATAAAAAATATATTCCAACTGATTTTGGCCAAAAAAATGTGCTCAAGGAGGATCTGTGTAGGTAAGACTATTATAGATCAACTATATGAAGTGAATGATAAGTCCAGATTGGAAATAAATCGTGATTTTTGTAATGTCACCACCTTGATTGATACAGTTGTAGGCCAGACACTGAAATTGAAGAGTTCAACATTTTACATGTATTATTTACAAATCTTTACTGACCAAACAACTCGGAACTTTTTGGAATAAAAACTGTCCTGTGTATCAATTCATATTCACAAACCTCTTTGCGGTGAAGATATGTGCTTTTCACAACAACAATTAGTATTACACCGACTTTCTTTGTTGACATAAATTAAATTGAACAACCCAGACACTCTTCCTCTACAAAAATCCTGCGTGTGCGGGCCCCAGTCAGGTGAATATGTTCCAGATCCACGACGAAGTCAATAGCAATGAAATTACAGGCAAACCTTTTCTGGACAATTTTAATCTTTCCTTCTACATTGTAGTACTAGCCTGTTCAATATCTTAGCCAAGTCTTGATTGTGTGACATTAAATGACTACCGTTTATTGTAGATATGTGTTGCTAGTCACCAGTTCCTTCGAACCCGACAAAGACTATTGCTGTATTAAATATATCTTTGTTTTACTTTATTCATCGTGTCAAAGGAACCTCACCTAGTAAGCTTTGTAGTCTATTTATGAATTTAATTGACGAATTAAATTCTTGTTATTATTCAGTTATAAATGTGACATATGAACGTTTTACCTACTGAAAAAAGGTAACAAAAAAAGATTTCCACTTTCCGTGTACAAAAAAAATCTTGCATCTCTTAAAAATCCCCACTCCCCCCAATCACTTTTTTAATGGTCCATCCCTAAAACCCATTGCTTGAATTTTTTGACTTTGCTAAAGTTCTGTAATTAAACCAATCGAACGGATGTAGGCTTCCTTTTTATGACCTTCTTGGTCATTACTAAATAAACAAAGTGCAGTGCTACTGGGAAAGTCTGTTCACAGACCCTCTATTTTCTCTTAAAAGTCCGTCGAGCGCAAGTGATAAAATATCTCGCACGCTCGCTTCGCTCGCCGACGTTTTTGGAAAGAACGAAAAGAAAAATAAAACAACGTCTGTTTACAGGCTTACTTGAACGCTGCATGGGGTTTTTATTATGCATATGCCGATAGTCGTTGACCATATTCATCTGATTGAAAAAACGTTGTCTGTTGAAAAGTATAAACCATGATAGAACGATTGGACCTAATGGATTTATGGCCGGGTAATTCCAAAAAAGGTCAAACGGTTTCCAGTTTTCTTGGCGATAAGCTCACAACTTCATTTATGCAGGGCACATCAGAGATCTCTACATTTAAAGAGCGAAGCCATATCGCTAAAACGCACTCTTGAAAATTACATAAAGATAGGACCTAAAAGCTTTCTTGGAGGACATTAACAATGTAAACCTTTTTAGTTGAAAGAACTTTGAATTTGCTTTGCTAATGAATGTATATACCCATTATACTTTTTAAGCACCAAGGGTTTTTTTGATATATCGGGTAAATATTAAAAACAGGATTTCAATAATCACACGCCTGACACGTAACTCGGTTTTTCCAAACCACTATTCCTTTTTTTTCAGTTTGGCGCTTAACCACATTGTCCGACAGTATGCTCTCAAAAACAATTTGGGCCATTTTTAAATTGCAAAGACGTTTGACGCTTAATTAAAACAAAACTACCCAATTATAGTCCCAATTGAAACCCAAAATTTATCGTGTCTGCTGCTTTATGTTTCAGTCACAAATGACAGTATGCTCTTATAAGACCACTTTTAAAACAATTTGTTGAGATAAATGAAACAAGAAAACATACCAAAAAAAAAAAAAAAAAAGAAAAATAAATATTAAATTGCGAAATTCAAATAGAAGGGGTTCTTATAAAACTCGTGCAATAATTTGTAGTATCTGGAAGTGGTAAGTTCATCTTTGCGCAGTTGTCTGTTTTATTTGGTGTTTGGTGTTTGCCGCAATGCTTTATATCTCTTTCAGGGTCATCGGAATCAGAGTCAGAGTTATTGTGCAGGCAAGTAACCTTTAACCCTTTTAACCTTTAAAACGCGGACTTTTAGTGTAGGAAATTTGGTTTTGTGGTACAAAGTGTGGTAGAAAATGTGGAGTGTGGAAAATGCGAAGTGTAGAAAATGCGAAGTGTGGTAACTGCAAACTGCACTGCAACTGCACTGTAACAGCAGTGTCATAATATTTACAAATTGATCAGTCCGGCCGGGAACTGTCACAAATGGTATGCCGTTTTTCTGATTACAGCGCATTTGTTTGCAGCCAAATTCGTTGTATCGCGATGCGCGAAATACAAAGTTCGAAGGATTTGGGGTTTTTCTGTTCCGTCAATCATGCCAGTAGGGGGTGGAGCTATGTAATTCAAAATGCAACGCGCCTGCTTGAGATTTCTGCGAGACAAGAATACACTCTTTTTTTATAAGAACGTCTAAGTTTGATGCCGAGGCTGAGCGTTCTTTTTGGCGATTTGAGGCTGAAACGTTCTTAAAGATGTTCTTAAATTTACCTGGTATAGTATTTCAACCAATTAGTGCGGACGTGACCAGGCAAACTATGAAAGAGCATTTCTTGCTGAGATATGGTATCAAGTTGCTCGCACATACTGGTTTGACTTGACTACACTCCCGGGGGGGTACTCGATATATCCTTGGTGCGGCCCGGTCCCTCACACCCTGACCCTGTTTAAGACAAAAATCGCTGATTTTCCTACCCTGTTTAAGACAGAATTCCGATTTTTGATACCCTGTTTAAGACATTTAACCCGAAACTATACCCTGTGTAAGACAATAATAAATATCGAAACTCTTTCTTATTTAATCCATTGGCAATCACAAAACTATTTACAGCTTGATTGACAGAGTCACGAGGAGCTCTTAACAGTTGATAAAATCGATACCGTGATTAACACAAAAATGAAAAATCGATACCCTGTTTAAGACAAAAAATGATAAAATCGATACCCTGTTGAAGACAAAAATCCCGAAAAACATACCCTGGCTGGCCGCACGTCCCCATTAAGCCCTTATAAACCCCCCGGACTACACTCCGCATTTTCTACCATGTTTTCTTTCACAAGTAGAAAGGTTTTTGAGTGTTAGTCAAACTGCTATTCATTTTATTAATCATTATTTCACAATTTACAGTGTTTTTGCCCCCCCTGACACCTCGTCACCAATATTCAAACGACACAAAAAAACCACAACTGGGAAGAGCTCAGGTAAATACCGGTTATTGCAAAACCTACTTTACTAGATTAGTTTAATTTAGTCTAATTTCATTAGACCTGGAGCTGCGTACTGTCCCAAAGTGTGCCAAACGAAGTTTCTTCTTTGCGTTTCTCCAGCCTTGCTTTATTCGCTCCCTCTTTCGTTTCTTTATTTATAGGGAGGTTGTGGCGAAAGGCGCTAAATAAGGAGATCAGTAAGGCTAAGGCTAAGAAAACATCGATAGCTGGGTAAGTGGAAATTGATTTATTTTAAACTTGAGTCAACGAAGGATTTCGGTTAAAGTCACATGTATAAATAGAATGCGAATATACCAGTGGGGGGCTCCCTTTTAAAAATGATTGGCTGCTCGTCATACCTTTTAGGCGGTCAACATTTGTACATCGGTACCGCTTAGGATGCTAAAATCTAAAATGACCACAGTTAGAATTATCACAGTACCTTTTAGGGTATCAAGCCACACTCATCAAACAAGATTCTGCTACCTTTTAGGGTGTTTTTTGAAAATTTCCGATGAGCACTCCGTGATTTTTATATGCGAGATGCCCCCCCTCCCGGGATGAATGTGCCATAATGAATAATGAATGTGCCATAATTATTATTGTCCGCCGTCCGCCGTCCGCCGTCCGCCGTCCGCATCCGCCGTCCGGATCCGCCGTCCGGATCCGCACTTTACAGAGTCCCGTCTGCGGAGGCAAAATTTTGTGTAGAGGCGATAAGATTTAAGAGAGTTCAATTTTGGCGCAAAGACCAGAGTCCTTTAGCGTGCCCCCGAGCGTGCCTGCTCAATCATGCATCATTTAATAATTTCTTCTGAATCACTCCAAAACTAATATAACACCTACATCTTTGAGGAAGATAATAATTTCTTATTACGCCAAATGCAGTGTCGAAAGGCGTATTTGACAAGGAATTTTTTTGTGCGTTTTTTCCAAATTTTCGAGACCTTCTAAACGTTTGACAAATTCATTTCCTGTAACGTATTTTTATTTACTTTTGTTCCGAGACAGTTTAATGGGACATAAAACCACCGTATTTAGTTACTGTTTCTTATTCATCAAGTGCGTGACTGGGAAATATGCCTTCTTGTTTTCGTTCCTTATTTAATCGATTGCCCGAGCTAAGTTTGCTTAATGGTCTGCATCTCATTGGAATACATGGTTCTTTGGTAAGCCTCTACATGTGGTCGCCTTTCAATTATTTATTCAGCCCTGAAAATGTTAACTAAATAATATAAAACTACTCAATCAGTTTTGTGGAAAACCGATATTATTTAGCAAAAGACGCAGATGGTTTTCTTATTTGTTCAGGGCCTCTATACACTCCGGATATTGTTATCACACGTATATTGTCATTCATATACAGCTTAATGGTTCCCCTTATCAGTGATACGTTTTTTAAATGAAGGTCTCACCTCATCGCTAATTGTTTTGGCTGCGTTGTGTGCTTTTGTTTCTTTCCTATATCGGCCACCGAACTATATAGATTTATCAGAGTTGCGTTCTAGTTTAGTTTACAGTATTGCAAAAAATGAAGAACATTTCAGCTGGCATTCCCTCAAACAACACATCTTCGACGTCTACAACACAACCGCTTTATTGTAAGGCCGAAGGAATAGCTGTTTGCAGCGTTTTATCGTTGGAAGCTATCTGTATAGTTGTAGGAAACTTTCTCACACTTTCCCTTTTTTCCGTTACCAAAGAGCTTCGAAAGAGGAGCTTGTTTCTTGTCATCAATATGGCTTTTGCGGACCTCATGATTGGAGCGCTGAGTCTACCATTATACATTTACTTCTATGTTGGTGATGTGTATCAACTGTGGAATGTAACGATAGAAACTCCATGGCGCGTATTCTTTGCTGCATTACAAGTGATTTTTTCTCAAGCCTCGCTTATTTCTGCAGCCTTGATATCCTTTGAGAGACTGTACGCCGTTCTTTGGCCACTGAAACACCGCACACTGTCAGTAAGAGCTTACCGCGTCGCTATATGCATAGTTTGGATACTAGCTCTCTGTTATTCCGCGACTGCCAACTTTTCGTACTACTTTATTTCACGAGAATTAGCCAACTGGTTTTGGATCTCAAGTCCTTTTATACTAACAATCATCGTAGGTGGGTGCAACATCGCTATTTGGAGAAAAGTCATCGTTCGAAGGAGCCTGCGTAAGACGCACAGCAGAGTCATTAAAAATCAACGCCTAACGAATACGTTATTATTTGTATCGATATTTCCATTGCTGACGTGGTTACCTATGTTTATTGTGAACTACTTAAAACAGGTCCAAAATGTTTCCATGCCTCCAAAAATTTATTACGTGTTTGTAATTCTTAACTGTTCTCACTTTTTTGTCAATCCAGTAGTGTATGTACTAAGAATTCCCGAGTTTCGACAAGCGCTATGTTGGCGCTATTTTACACGAAAACAACCGTTCTTTGAAGAAGGAAGACAAACTAGAGCAGGTCTTTTAAGACCCATGAGTCAGCGATTAACGTTACAGGCCGTTTCCGATCACTTAGCTACCCCCTCTTGTCCAAAGTTGTCCTTGGAACGGAGCGTCGAGGACGCAAAATTGTGAGTGATACTTTTTTAGACGAATTTTAACGCAAAAACTGTAATATATAAAGAGTCTCTAAAAGCTTGAACGTTCATGGGAGTTGGTAAAACTTGTGAAAGCGTTTCGAGAAACTCTGTCCTGCAAAGTAATTAACGGAAGATCAACTAAACCGGGGTATGTCCCCACAAACTTCAACGCAAAAACAAAACTGTCATTTCATAAAGTGGACGAAGACACAGTGTTCCTACTACTTAGCAACTGTCAATCATTTCATCCATCCAAATGGCAAAGGAAAGGAACATCTTTTTAACCACCTGTCAGGAAATTTGGATTCTAAGACTCGCTTTTTTAGACGAAAGTCGCCGAGACACAAGGAAGTCGACGAAGGAAGGCAAAAGAGAGATGCCGTTTTGAGACCTATGACACAGGGTCAAGCTGTTCATCGAGGGCGCCAAATTGTGAGCGATCATACTTTGACGAATCATATGAAAGATACAGTGTGTTATAAAACGCACACAGAGAAGAAGTCGCTAAAAACTTGAGTTCCTTATCAATAAATAAATAAATAAACAAACAAACAAACCTGGATTTGTGGAATCGATTTTATTGCACTCTCAACATCGACCACGCACACCAAATACAAAATTTCCTTTCATTATTCAATTTCATGTACGATAGAGCTGATTATCTTCAGAAACTTGCAAATACCCTTTACTACAAGCTCGTCATGGGCATCAGCTACTAAACTCGCCATAAAAGTTCCTCCACCGATCTCACTCAGAAGTCAATGACAAACTACATCAAAACAAACAGTTTAATATTTTTGCTGCCTGTTCATCACCAGTCACGGATACTTCTCAAGCTGGAACATAGACTTTCTTCTTCGTTCCCGTCACCCACGTCTTAAGAACAATCAAAAAGCAATAGAATTCCACGTCCTAAATAAAGCCTACCGTTTATTTGATCCCAGGTCGGAGGGGGACTGGTACGAATGACGTCACTCTAGCAAGACATTGAGGGCGCGGGTGTCACCCAATTGCGCCCTCTGGACTCCAGTAACCCTCCGTCTTGAAAATTAAATAGACGGTGCTCGACGCATGTACACACGAAAACAAGAAAAAACGAGTATTCTGGCTTACTGAAATCTACTTAGAGATTGCTTAGTTTTCTTATCAAAGCCCTCTTTTTCAATAATCAAAATCCATTTTAACAACACATTATGCCACTATGCTTGGTATGACACGTTCCTTTGAGATGGTCTGGAGGACGATTGATTGTAAACGTCTCTAGGATCAAGTTTTGGTGCATCAAAAGAGGTGAATCCTTGTCCAGATGGGACAAGTGATATTGAATCAAAAATCCTGATCCGGATCATCCCAAAGGAACGCAACCTAAATGAGTTTAGAAAAAACAAAACTAAAAATTTATTGTTTAGTTATTATCATCCACTTGAGGTGGGATTTGTGAAGTTGGAGCTGGTTTACAACCACAGGACTTGTGGTAAGCATTTCTAATGACTCTCCTGTGAAAAAAAAGGACAAAAAGTTTCATCAATTTCCATTCAGGAAAATTGGCAAAACTGACTTAATGAAATAACAACTTCAATTCGTTAATACGGTAATGAGTATTAGTAGAAACCGACTAGCACACTATCACGGTTTTCAGTCTAACTGGATAACGTTTTCAGAGACCGTGAAGCATGGTGGGTGTCCTCAAGGGGAGGCGGGGCGGGGGGGTTGGGATAAGGCTAATCCGAAAACGTAAGCGAGAACATACCAGGGCATCAAAAACTATCACGAAGTAGCACCCTGAGTACTTCGAGATACTAGGCTACACATTTCATTTTAAGGAGTTGTAAAACACACCAATGGTTAAGTTCTGCATCCGTTGTCGGAAACATAGTAGGCAGCTCATCCACAAGCCAACCACATCGATCATAAACGAACAGTGCACTTGTTTTATTGTGTCCCAGGAACGCATGCACAAGACCGTGCTGATCACGTGGCTCCTTGATCAAGTCTTCAGTGCTAATCCCTCCCTCATGGAAGAGATTGCGGGCAGCCACCGTCATGAAGACAATACCTCTCATGTTGCTATAGAAACAAACAAAAAATTGTCAGTCCTGTTTCAACTGGCCACAGTGCGCATGCGTAAGCCTTTGTATATCATTAGAGGGCTGTAAGACCTTTTCCAGAAATACCACAGAGCCATTTTTCCACGCCATGAGGTTGTGTGATTATGGATACTCACGATTCCCCACTCCAGAAACCACAAGGGTTTAGGCGCAACTATTTTTCTGGGATTGTTTGGGTGGACGAGTGTTTCTTGCGATTGGTCAATAGTCGTCTCCATTGACTAACTATAACTAACGTTTGTTGATCCAGAGGATCACAGAAATCACTGCACCCAAATCTTGTACCCATTCTCCCTATACCGTAAAATTCCGAAAATAAGCCCCTCCATGTATAAGCCCCTCCAAATATAAGCCCCCCAAACCGGTAACGCAAACAACCCTCCGTTAAATCGTCCCTCCAAATATAAGCCCCCAGGGGGCTTGTTCTTGGAAAATTGCCCTGAAATACAAGGTAAAAACAAGCAAAAACGGTATATTTCCTTCCAACTATAAGGCTAGCCCAATCGGTTTTGAAACGCAAATTTCCCTCCGTATATAAGCTCCTCCGAATATAAGCCCCTCCAAAAATAAGCCCCTCAAAAAGGCCTTTCAAAAATATGAGCCTCGAGGCTTGTTTTCGGAATTTTACGATAATTTTTTAAGTGGGGGATTATACAACAAGCAATCAACTGATAAATCAGTGGCCCAGAATTAAACTGACAACCCACAAAAGCCAACATTGTAAATGACAACTGAAATTGTATACCTCCATCAAGGCCCTGTAAGACTACAATATTCAAAGCTGCAAATACGTGTCGGCCATCGCACAATGTCCGAATAAATTGTCCGGACAACGTTAGAAGCAAAGACTCTCATTTTACCGATGAACAAAATCTACATTGAGCACATGTGATTTGTTGCACCAACGAAACACTACTGTTGCAGTGAATATATGGCAGTTCTTGTAAACTTCTTTTTAACTTGGCAAATAAAATGGTTGTTTCCGGGGGCAATGGGTGGCACAAAGGTGAGAGCACTCGCCTCCCACCAATGTGACCCGGTTTCGAATCCTAGCGTCGACGCCATATGTGGGTTGATTTTGCTGCTGGTTTTCTCCCTTGTTCTGAAGGATTTTTCGCCGAGTACTCTGGTTTTCCCCTCTCCTTAAAAACCAGCACTTCCAAATTCCTTTTCGATCTGCAACGCACTGACACGTTTCAACGAGTTCTTAAGAACTCCTGAGTGCTCCGTGGGTAAACAGTGTATACAATTACAATGTTATCTGCGACAAATAATCCGTCCTATATAATTGGTCCGACCGTTTGCCTTATCCGATCCTTACCTCTTGGCAATTCTTCGCATCTCGGCCATTCTGGCAATGGCCTCGTTGCGAAGGCAGGCTTGTCATCAGGACTTTCCCCGTTGTCATTTGATCATCCCCAGGACCACAACGGACCCTTCTGTCCGCTTGTCGAGCACTGGGCCCAAGGATGGCAACTGTCAAGGTCAGCGTCAGTTGCGACCTGAACTGGTCAGTGGCATGGCAAGGAGCGTGACGACGAGAAAAGCCAATATTCCCATCACTATAATAAAGTGCCTGCAAGGTGGAAATAAAATCAGCCACGACTGGAAAGTTTTCAAACCTAAAATGATGGACAGAAGTCTTCAGCGCAGTGATTCAATTCCCGTATTTATGTATTTGATGTAACCAACTTCTCTTCAGAGCAGTGCTGAAATTCTGAGGAATTTCGCGTTCAACACTGATCTCTTCCGCAGAGGCCGCGATCCTTTTGGTCAGTGACGGACGACAAAAGGGACCCCTGGTGACGAGATTGCGCGTTCAAGACCATAAATGTGAGGCCTGGAATAGGGACTGCGCATGTGTTCGCTTGTTTCTTTGACAGGTGTTAAAAAGCGACACGTTTCAATCCTGTCCCAAGACCTTGTACAGGGATTGTAGATTTGATTTTTAATCCATTTTTGGGGGGTGAAGATTACTCTGCCATCAGGCTTCGAAGTTTTTCCAACCGATTGAGAAGCCTTCTGCATCCTGGACAGAGTTCGGTGAAATTTACAGAGATATCCTAGGTAGTGGAGGATCCAGCTTTGTGATCGCATATCGTACCCAGTTTCCTACTCGTTTAAAACTCGGCAAATTCTTTGCAGACGAGGAGTCCAAGTAGCTGTAATTGCAATAGGCCATTTGCATGATGGCCTCATTTTCCTACTATGACCAGGATCCTTCGATTCAGGGTTTTGCTTTCTTGTGCAAATTAGGGCTTTTGTTATTTAAACCCCACTGTGGCTACCAAATTTACATATCAAAGGAAAAACGAAAAGAATTCTGGTCGTAGTAGTAAAATGACGCCATCGTCCAAATGGCCTATTTAGGGCTCGTTCAAACGTCGAACTCAACTTCGTGCAGTTCGTCAACAGAAAGAAAATGGTCCACCAAATTACAAAGCAATTACACTCCAGAAGATCATTTTTCGAAGTCTAAACGCAAATATTATCTTCACGGACAAATTAAAGAAACAATTTCACTGGTGCGTGCGATGTAAACATCAATGCGCAGTAAAATTCTAAGTTAAAGAAACAACTTATCTAGCTTTTCGGGCGGCTCTAACCTACGCTATGATTCGCGATATTTCGATTTAAGAATCAGATTTTCCTGGTCCTAACGAGTTAACTTCAAGAAACGAGGATAAGCATCGAGAACTTGGAATCTAGATATTTGTAATGTCGACGTTTCACGTTTGACCCTGTATCCGGGAAAACCAAATTGCGGAAATTAATAAGTTTGTCAATGAAAACTGGCCTCAGAGGAATGTAACAACGACATGAATATATGTTAAGACATACCGGATCGAGCTTCAGTTAGATGATCCTTAATGGTCTCTATTACACTGTGCTTTCCAAAGTAATCATACAGTACTAAGTTTATAAGAATTCAATGAAGTGAATCACTGAATCGTGAACGTCAAGAACCCAAACTGTCAAAGAACAATAACTACGCTTTAATATATGTAATAGATTTTCTTTGTTTACAGGCATCAGCCTCGCAGTGTTGAATAAATCATATCTGATTTGAAAACACAAAGAGAAAAGCCTCGTTTAGCTTAGCTTATCATGCTAAAAGCTCCCACTTGCCGCAAAGAAAAAACATTACAAAAAGGGTCTCGTTTTAGCTACAACTTGACCAGCCAAGATAAACGCCTCGTTTAAAACGGTCCCTTTAATTGGCCCTATGCAGCTACGCATTCACGTGATACAAAACCGCCATGGTGGAGAACAATAGCAAAAGACAAACAAAGGAAATTAACATATTTAATGATGTAAGCATTTTATTTGTCTCGTCCCAAAGCGTCCCTACAGCATGACGGTTGTGTACCACGTGAATGACCAACTGCAAAGGGCCTAAACAGTCCATTACAAATTATAATACAACTGGATCGCCTACACCGCTTAACTCGTAGTTTAATTAGGTTAAGGCAGCATCCTTAATTTTGAAAGACTATTATGAGCCTGGCATGTGTCGAGCTCCCCTGTGAATAGTTCTTCCAGTTATGCATAGCACTACGATATCCTATCCTAGGGCTTTGGCGCTTTAGGACTGTATTCCTTAGTAGGGAGGTGTGTTGAAAGATAAGTGTTCAGCGTTTTCAAAGGTACCGTGAAGGGCCGAAAGGGATTCGCGTCACTGGAACTGCGTTTTTGTTTGTTTGTTTTGTTTCGTGTTTTCGTTTTCAAGCAGAGCGGATTTTTTGTCCTTGGGAGCGAGATTTGAGGAAAGACTACATGGGGCACTGGAATTAAAAAAAAAACGAAATCGAAGGACCACTTCCTAATGTCTTCAATTGTCCATTGTCCTTCTCGCTCTCTGTGACGAGTAATAGGAGAGGACCCTGGGAAAGAGATTGCGCGAAATATTAACACACTCTAGAGGCCTTCCAAACGGAGTCACGCAATCGCCGCTCCCCGCAGACCAGTCTGCTGCAAACGAAGCAAGCAGCAATAAAAGCGCTCCAAGGCGCACTAGCAAGGTGACACGTACTACATAAGGCTGTCAGCAGTTTCTTTGCTTTCTTTGGCGTTGGGACAAAGTTCTTGAAGATAAAATAACAAATCACGGCACGAGAAAACCCGATCGTGTTTTTCAAGGTCAGGTTCAACGTCCGGCCAAAGAATGTGATTTAGCTTATATAATAAACCCTAACAGCGAGCGCTAATACCCAGGACGGTGACGGCTCCGCTTAATTAAGCGTAAAGGGATGAAGCAAAAATTTTTCCAGGATCGGACCGATCTTGAATGTTATCAGAATTTCAAACCCACTAGCCAGCTCAAATCTTAAACGAATTTTTCTCTATTTAGCCCGTCGACTACAAATCGGTTAATGGCATTTAGGGCTTGCTCGCCAGTTTAGTTTAACAGTGCCTTCCCCTCCCCGGAATTTCGACCTTTAAAAAATTTCAATATTCTGCCGTTTTGTTCCATCAGGGTCTTTTAAACACTGAACGCAGCCTGTAACTTAGTAACAAAGGAAAATCCGGTCCCTTTCCTTGGGAAAAAGATTCCTTGCATACAAGTTGAGTAATCCGCCGGTCATGAAAATGATATACGACGTCGTATAATCGTTCTTCCTTCAAAACCAACGTTCAGATACTTGGGCCATATATGAAAAGATCAACGCAGTTAATTAACCGCCTGAAAAACTATTAGACAAATTTTTAAGCAAAAAAACTAAAGGACAGTTTGTACACGTATCGTGAACGACAACCTAAATGATGCATAATATAATACCCGTCGTCTTGTCGAACAATTATCATATACATGTTCTCGTTAAATTAAATATGTGACAAAATATATCTAAGGTGAAGCTAACAACATTCAAATTGAATGAAAATAAAAAAAAAAAAAGGGCGCTAAGTTTATACTCACAGCTTTAAGCGGCGCTCAAACTTGTTTCCTCGGGATTCCTTCCCCTTTGAAATGAAAACCCGAATGCAATCTCTAAACTAGGGCAAGTGATATTTGATCTGTGACATTTTTATTAATCACGAGTTCCTAATGCGAGAAACGCGTGACAACTTGTGACACCCACTAGGAATAGGCGTGTATATCTCATGCCGTCCCCCGCTAAAAAAGAAATTGCATTTTTAACGTAACCCGCCTAACTTTCTAGGATTTGATGTGGACTGATCCTGTACGGGTTATTGCCTTTATTCACGCGCTGGGTTTTGGGGTTTGTTTTCGCACAGGTAGGCCAAGCTCGAAATATGACATCGGCGAACATCGGCATTGTTGCGTAACATTCGAAATATAAGGATTTGTGTGGGGAAACCTACGAAAATGAAAGGATTTTAATAAAGGTTATGGGTTATGTACACGGTTTTACCTTTATATAGAGAGAAAACCGTTTACATAAAAACCCATAAAACGGCCATACATCGGCGCGTGGACCACAAAGGAGAGACGTGACACACATTTTAAGTAAGGTAAGCTGTTTTTTATTGAGATCCTTTCATTTTCGTAGGTTACAGAAACGATAGGTTTTTATCCCATACAAATCCTTATATTTCGAATGTTACGCAACAATAGCCTGCGTAGCAGGCGCTTGGAAGTAGCGGGCGAGAGAGAGAACGGGCGCGCGCGAGGGAGACAAGCGCCTGCTACGCAGGCTAACGCAACAATGCCGATTTCGCTGATGCTCATATTTCGAGCTTGGGTTACCTGTGGTTTTTGATCTTGGGCTGCATGACCTCCAACTTCATCTTGTCTATGATCTTTTCCACTTTGCGCTCTAGATGGTTCTTATGAAGAATTCATATTCATTTTTGCTAAATTAAAAAAGCCCTTCGTCTCACATAATTCCCTCACTCTATTTAGACACCCCCACCCCTCAAACGAGCTTGAAATAAATAAGCCCGCCCTTCAGGGTCTCCAGGGTGCTTAATAAAGGATTTACAATTTTTGTTGTCATCTACCCCTCCCCTAACCAAACATCTTACACTCGGTTAGACGTTAGTGTTAACTTTTGGAGAGGAGTAGTTGAACAGAGTCATACTGGATCACCAAAATAAAATTTTAGTAACATGCCCACCCACCACTCCCCTAACCTAACTTTTTACACTCGGTTAGAAGTTAGTGTTGACGTTGGATTAGGGGAGGGGTAGTCAAACAGACTACAAGATTCTGAAAAACCTACACTTACCCCTCCCCTTACCTAACGAAGTGAAAGAAGGTGTTAACGTTCGGTTGGGGGGTGGGGGGCTGGTGAGTAGTTCCTAAGTATCCTATACTGATCCCTAAATGTTCCCGGTCCTTCATGACTCCGCTTGGTGGTAAATTTGTACCCGTATAGGATTTGAAGAGGGAAGT